CGAATGAACGTTTAAGAGCTGGTGACTACTTTTATCCGGCTAGACAAATGCTTGTTTGATATTTAAATGGTAGGTTATTCAATTTCGTAGAAGTTAATCTCATCAAAAAGAACTCAGTAAATACAAGCGTTTATTGTTTTTTCATAAACGACAATGCAACAGTTGGTGGAATATTAAAGTGCATAGAGAATTCGACAATATTTATCACAGACTTGAATTGTGGAAGTACAGTAAGGGTACACAAAATTGTACTTTGAAACTCAGAACTAAGCGTTGATTAGTTATCATTTAAAATAATGCATAATCTTTGGAAAGTGTTTGTATGGAGACACTGATGCCCTATATTCACATTTCGGTCTGCTGTCTGGCAGATTGCCCAAAAATAATTAGTCATCATTCGCTCAACTCCTTAGTAGCAATACTAGGATCGGATGATTCTTAGAACATGTTGCACTATTTAAATTAGTTTCTCTTGTGTTTAAAGTGGGTCATTTGTTTTAGTTTTACGCAGAATGTGTATTTGGGTTTTAGAACGATATACGAGTAATCTCATTTTCAACGGACTTGAAAAAGTTGAAAAGTTTCTCAATTTGGCTCTATTATTATTTTAAAACCCTATTACTTATGATAGGTAATACTTTTTAAAAGAAAATTACTTTAATATTATTGAAATTGTTCATATTAAAAATAGAAATGCATCGATTTATGTTTTTCATAATTTTGAGCATTCAAGGGAAATTATGTGAATTACATCGCATGTTTAGACAATAAATATATTTCAAAGTAATTAAAGCATTAAACAATTAAACTTAATGTGTAATTCCTTAACGTTATTTTATAACACCATACAATGAAATTGGTGCAGTCCTCTAGCGTCGAACGACGGAACTTAACAGTTATGCTTCCCACCGCTAGATGGCAATCATAAATAACAGTTAAGTCTTAGTGCATTTATTATTTTTGTTAGCATTATAAATAAATAAGATTAAAACCATTAAAACTATTTTAAAGAATAATTATATATAATTAATTATTATTAAAAATATATATAATATTTTTTTAATTTATTATTAGCCTATTGGATTACATACTAGAAATAAATACAAACTGCAACAGCTATACTCGTAATAAAAATTAGCTCTCTTGTATGACAGGATGCAGTTAATGTCTTATGAATGCAAAATGAAGTCTTAGAAATCGGTTTTCTACTATGTAGTTCGTAGCAAGCGCTACGCCGTAGGCGTTTCGAGATACTGCTTCAGCGTTGTCATCTGAAGCAGTTACAGATAAAATAATATATTCTACGCATGCAGGAAAACTTCAACATCATTTATAAAAGTACCAATTGCGTTGTCCAATAAAAGATCGAGTTACTGAGAACTAAATCAATAATTTTATATTTTGATGATTTTATAATAAATATAATTAGCTTGTGACTAAAATAAATAAATAAAGCAGTATCGCATCTCTTGCTTGTACAATTAAACTATAATATTTACCGTTTCGACAAGTGGTTTTTATTGTGTAACCGTTAACAGTGGAACGTTTCCGCTTCATATATGAATCGTTATTCAACCCGCTCAAGGTTATTGAATACGATATTTTGTTTACATAAATAAGGCCAAGAATAACATGAAATGTGAAAGTACTTGTTGCTATTTCAGATTGCGAGTACTTGAAGAGATTTTTACCGATTTCATATTACAAAAAACTCACTTATATTTTTAATTAGAATTGCATTAACATAAGGTATGGTCTGTCTTATGTATTGGTATATTTACAGTAACTCTAGTGTTTATTTAGTTTGTGGTCTCATTTTGTAGGTCTGTGGTCTCATTGACAAGTGTGGATCTCAATTACAAAATTAAATATTTATATAAGACTTTTAATAATTAATGTGTCTTTCATTTATTACTTCCCACCGTTATGATCGAATTCAATCTTGATTGTATCAACATGATTGATGCGACGAACAATATAATGCGAAAACTTTACAAAGTGAAATAAAAACGGATAGGTATGTGTAACCTATAGCATAATTGATCTTCACGTAAATATCGTCTGCTGAAGTGTGTGAGTACACTCATTTTTGTATAATGTAGCTGCACTAGACACTAACACAGCCAGACTGGCGACCTGTCTCTGTGTGCGGATTTGTTGGGGTAGGTTCATACACTATATAGGTATATAGTGAATGAACCGAACGTAGGTACGTAAGCTAACAGATTTGAAACTCAAAGAATTTGTTATTGTATTCCCAAGTATACTCAACTTCATTTTATAGTTAATGTTTGAATTTTTCAGTTGATGTCATAATTCTACAAAAGTTAAAGCCGTTATAAGAAGCCGAATATTGTAGTTTTTCCTAATATAAATAGACAAGTATTAAACACCCTTTACCGTAATATTCAACAGGAATCCTTGACCGGTTTATACAGTCTGTTTTCCGTCAACATTCCAGTATTAACGAACGCTTGTTGATTCCTTGAACGTCAAACCTATCATTGCCGTTTTTCATATTAAACACAAGGTACAAAGAAGTAATTATATTTTAATCGAATGCATTCAATGTAAATACATGAACGTTTGTTGTAGGCACGTATAGGCAATGTCAATGTTGCAGTGACAATACGGGAGAGCTTGGTTGTGTGCGAGCGGGCGCCGCCCAGACACCTACCTAGATGACTAGATATCTAGATGTGGGTGCATCGCTGCAGCGTTGGTGTAGGTCCTGGGGGTAGTTCGGCTTTCGTTATTGGATGTTGGGATAGGTCGGGTATGGGTGCAGTGCATGCAGGGGGTAGGTGATGGCAATAACTACAATCACGTAATAAAACGCTCACCACTGGATGTGACATTGTCAGACTAGAGTTTATTTTTAGGTTTAATGAGTTTCTGATATCATACGACATTTTTATGGCGTTCACACTTTGTTCAATTATACATTTCTGTATACCTAACATTGTTTGTATACGAGGCACATTTGGTTGCCAATGAAACAAAATGCATGTTTTTAGAAAGAAAAAACAGAACTTTTTATTTTAAATTAGCTTATAATTTATAAGAGGGGAATCGACCCAGGATTGTCCAGAAGCCATACGAGGGATGGTATTCGGGCCGTTATGTTTCATTTTCATTGTGTTTTATATAATCAAGAATTACATAGAAAAACGTAGAAGAAGCCAAATTGTTCACAGGAAAATAAAGCTACACTTTTAAAAGAAATGCTTTGGTTTGGTTAACATTCCATTACAGTTTTAATGAATTCTAATCTAGATAGGTATCTCATCACTAAATAAAAAGGAGAGGTCCTTTATATTATTCCATATTATCGGGATTGTAATTAGAGTAACTACTGTTCACTAATTTATGGTTACAAATACTTTATAAATCCTCTTAGAAAAAAGGCATAATGTGGGGATACAACCTGCACATGCTCTTATAATTATATTGGAACTTATTTTAACATTACATATAATGCACTGCTGTTTTTATAATGTGAAACATTCTAAATCGCATCTCTTTTGATAGAGTTTAGTTACCGTTTTTATATGTAGTTCTCGCAATCCTAGAGAAAACGCGATGGCTTCATGATTAATTAAAAAAAAGGATTTTACATCTAGGATATATATTTATGTCCATAGACAATTTGCCTCAATTAAGATAGAAGAGTACAAAAGCCATGAAACTAATTGAACTTCCAATTGCCGTGCTGTATATTATATTTGTTATGTAACTCAGGTTCAATGTTTATTTACCAATACGTATGTCGTTGCAGGTCGATGACCCGGCTGCCGGTCGGGAAAATTCGGCGTTGTCCGCACTTTAGAGGGGGATGGACTTATATGCAATGAACAGGGAGCGAGCAGATGTATACAGAGGGTAGAGACCTTGAGCTAACAAAATCAAGGGTAAAATAGTGCGCGTGTGTGCGTCAGTTCTGAATCGGCTTTGTGTTAGTGCATCGATACTAATATACAAGTACAGATGTATATCTAATAACATATTCAACACAGAAAGAAGTACGTAAATATATGTGTATGTATATTTGCAAGTCGTCTCCTGTCCACTGAACCTTGAGAATAAGAAAATGCTAAGTAGTTTGTCTGAATGCGAAGAGCTTACTCAGACTACTTAATCTTCTTAAAGTGTTATGATTTAGAAACTCGGTGCTTTGGTGTATTGTGGTAATATTTTTTAAATTAGTCTGCGATATTATGCAGTTGTATAGATATAGTATTCATACTGAATAGAAGAATCTAGATATTGTACTTGTGTATTAATTATATGTCATAGAAACATATGAATTACGTGTTATCAAAACTTGTAACTTACCCATTACAATTAAGAAAATAAGTTTTCAAAAGTTATAAGTTATTTTTTCCAGTTTTGCAAAATTAACTTGACCATTCGTGGAAGAATGAGAGTTTAGAAACCCAATTAATTATAAAATAATACCAAAGGGCACTTTGAAATAAATGATTGATGTCTACAATCTTTAACATTACTATAAATGCAATTGGCTGATAAGTCTAATAGGTAATAAATCTCGCCTGTGTTCTAATATACTAATATGTATAAATCAGAAACACTTAAATTACAAGCAATGATGCAAATCAATTATCCGATCAAACCGTCGCCATAAAAATAAAAACGCATGTCAACATGCAACAACTACGACCACGTGCTCAATCCAAAATAGACGCGCACTCACACACCTTCGCGCGCTCGCACGCAGCACCCACACACGCGCACGCCATGCGGCCCAACGAGCCCCGCGGAAAAATCAATATTTTGAGCAAAACTACTTCCCTTAACGCATCTGTGTGCGTTGGTTGCCTCCCTGCGAGCCCACTCTTAAAGCTCTATCGAGGGAAAAATGTTCGAACCGAACAACACCTTATCCGTTACGAAACAAAGTGTTATTTCCCCTATTAACTGAGGGGTAGTTAGATCGTGAGGGTACGAGGAGGTAATGCCGTCCTGCTCCAATCAATCGGATGGCTCGGTCGCGCGGCCGCGTGGCGTCGGGCAACGACCCCGACCCGGTCGTTACCCCGCGACAGTTGCACCCTGCTACCCCGTACCGGCAAGTACGCACCCTTGTTCTTGCCGAATCTTGGGCCCGCGCCTTGTGCGCCTTGCCGCCGCTGACATTGACTCGTCGAGGAGTTCAACGACCTCTGCAAACGCTTCCGTCTTCCGGTGTGCTCTATCGAAATTCTAAATAATGGTCTTAAAGTGGAGTTTTATTTTTATAACTCAATTTAAATTTCATGAGTACACTTCACCCTTTGATAGCTACACATTAAGTAATGATTTCTAGAGTTAAAAAATGTTCATGGACACTGACCGAAAGGCGTAATCGCCATCATTGGATATAATAATATTACGCCTTAATGTTGTCTGTGCTGTTTTCAATAACAATAAATTTATTATTTATCTGAAATTAATATTTTCGAGAGTAATCTCATGTTATAATGGTCCGAATGACTCATGCGGCATGCCCAATTAATACCAATAAAAATAAAATACAAGCCAATGCTCATTGAATGAAATGAATGATCGTCCATGCGTGTGTCCAAGAGCAAACAGACGCTAACGCAGTGAAGCCACGACACAAATCATTTCATATTCAAAGCGAATTAGGCGTAATTTCAAGACGGAATTCGACACGAAAACAAAAAAAATCTATAAACAAATGCACCATCTCCTCTCTGTCGGGATTAAAAAATAAAACGAGAGATTCCAGTACACCTTACCAAAATTAACTAAGTGACTAAGTGAGCATTTGAGATGCGCTTACGCATCCTTTTAGCGAGAAATTATTTTTAAAGAAGGCAAAAGATTTTTATCCACTGATTTCGTCGAGCGCATCCAAAGTAAAGTTAATGTGAAACGCGTAAACTGAAACCACAACAAGAAGTATTTTAGAAGCCCGGTGTTATTTTTATGAGTGGTGATCAAAAGTCGTGATGAGAGAACATATAGATATTTATATAGTGGTAGTTTAAGTTACAGAAGAAAATTTAGTGTCATGAATAAGCTTTGTGACATATTTCAGGAGAAATCTGTTAAGGTGCTCGACGCGAGCTTAGTGACGTTTAAGCACGTGTGAGTCTGTTGTGCGAAATGGTCTTAAATTTCAAAATATTTTGCTTTTACGGAACTAGGTAGAATATAATATGCGTAGTAATATGCGTATTGATTTGTACTTATAACAACATACAAAGTAACATAAATATTAAAATGTGATTTCAAACAATAAAAGAGGAAAAGAATGACATTACAAAGTATGTAGTATATAGGTAAGAGAAATGAATCAAAACCATTACAAAGTCTAATAAAATTAAGACTAATAAAATTAGACTCATTATATCTTAAACTAGTGTGACATCATCATCCTCCGAGTCTTTTTTTAAACTAGGGTGGGGTCGACTTTGAGTCTACTACGATGCGGCTGAACTCCGATTTTTTACGTGGAGCTAGTGAACTAGTATGATACATATTCCAAGGTTTTTTAATCACCTAACTTTTATTTCTGAAACTATCCCTTAGACTAAATAAAAATAGGTTTTGGTAGTCTATTCATTGTGCAAGATTTATAAGTTATTTAGGATCACGCCACTATTCTTACGAAAAAGTAACCGTAAACATGACTAAGAATGCGAGCAACGGCTGGTTAATAATAAATATCAATAAAATGCTCTTAAATGCTTTGAAGAATACTTTTGTTGGGAATTATAGGTTACTTAATAAGAAAAACATAATATGTAATAAAAAGTATAATGGGAAGTTCCATAGATGTTTAGCATAGTCTTGTAAATAATGAGGTTTGTGTAGTAGTTCTACCGACACAAATGCCGGTCATTTTGTAATATAATTATATGAGTATGCTTTAGGTAAATATTTAGGTTATATGTTAGGTTAGTTTTCTGCATCATTCACCTCCTGCGGAAATTAAATTCACCGTTGGTAATTGTTCTAAAATACTCAATTATTTAAATGAAGCACATGACATAATGACAAGAATTTAAATAGAAAATTAGTTTATTTTTAAAGATTATTTTATTTTTCAAAAATTATTATGTTGCGGAGAAGTAAACAGAGCGAATAATCACCCTTAAACTTAATATGCTTTGTAATTAAGTCACGAATATTATTATAAAGAACATTAACCTTACACATTAAGGATCACATCATCATCATCATCAGCCTTTACTAGTCCACTGCTGGACATAAGCCTCTCCTTAGAAAGGAGGTTTTGGTTTTGGAGGCTTTATATGACTGTATAGGGTTTGTGTCAAGTTTTCCTTCAATCTGCAGTGCTGTTGTCCTGCGTAGTTTGCTCCCTTAGTCGCCTCTTACGACACCCACGGGATGAATAGGGGTGGTGACACTGTATTCTTAATCCGTCACCACACGGACACTCTTTCTGGCATCTTTATTGTATCAAGGATCTAGGCAATCTTTATTGTTTTTTTTTCAAATTTAAGTCAAAGAAGGCTGAAGCCATATAAATCAAAGCCTTCTTCATAGCACGCTCGCTACTTGGACCCTGAGTGCAATGGCTCAAATAATCATATTATTTTAAGTTCAGTTAGTGTCAATCCGATTGATATGCCATTCGGTAATTTCTCATTTAAATGCTCCAAATAGTCTTATTTTGTAGTTATAGACAAGTGCTACAATACACGGTATCGATTAAGTGGGGGACGTGCCTTAGTGTGAGTTGCTTAAATCAATATAAACCTAGATCCTAACCTTTTTTATTCTTGTCACCCCTACGCCTCAACTAGGGAAAATAATGTTATTAATATTAGTAATAAATAAAATAAATATACAAGTTTACTAAACCGCCATTAAGGACAAAATAAGTAAGTAATCTTTAGTATAAAAAGTGTTTCGCATTAATAATTTTTTGTGATATATTATAATCCATTAATAATTTCGTTATTGTTTCACTAAAAACGAATTTCATTTATGTTTCACATTAAGATGAGTTCTAACCTTCATTTTAGTACATCTAACATAGAGAGAATTAATTATCGAACCGTATACATTTTGTAAAATTTTACAAAATTGGCCGATAACTATACTATATTTCTGTTTTACACGTAGCGAATAAACATGGCCATTTAGAAGACAACTTAACATGTGCCGTATTTAAACGAACGTGAGAATTTAAGTGATGCCAGTTTTAGTTAATATGAGGATTACAAATTCACGATATCGGCTTAGATATTATTTTAAATCGTCTAAAATTCGTTAGGAATTAAAAAAGAAACTAATTTATATGTTAAAAATGAAACATGCATTTAAGTGTTTTTTTTCCGACTATTAGGAAATATTAGTATAAAACTTATAAAATGATTTTATATAAAAGCTGCTACTTGAGAAAACTTTCATTTTGTCAGTGTCAATGATTATACCAGTGCCTGATAGGCTGACGAAAATCCAGAAATTATACATACGATTTTTACAAAAAAAAAACTAGAAAAGATAAGACGTGTAAAAAAAGTTTTAATATAGCTAAAACCAGCGGATGATGTATCGCACATCTGAAATTGCTACAAAATGATATTAGTATAAAACTTACACCGGGTGTACGACACGGCGCCGACGTCTTAAACGATCAATCATTTTCTTCTTAAGCTCCTCAGGCTGGTTGCAGACGGGTGTGTTCCCGTTACCGTACCGTATTTTTTGTGTGTATGTATATTTTACTGGCTTTTACTCGCGGCTCCACCCGCATGTGTGTGGGTTATCGCGTAAAATAGCCTATGTCTTTTCAAGAATCAAACTATCCCCATAACAAATTTCATCGGAATCGGTTCAGTGGTTATTGATTACTCATACAAACTTCCACCAGGAGGGGTGGAAGTTTGTATGATTGATTGTTCCACGATGTTAAAGGATAACTTATGGGATAACAACTATCCTATGTCCTTTCCCGGGTTCGGCGGTCGGTCGGTTCAGCGGTTTAAGCGTGAAGAGGTAACACACAGATAGACAGACAGACACACTTTTGCATTTATGGTATTGGTATGGATGTTCCGTTACATTTTTAGGACATATTTTATAATGAATTAAATCTATAGGTTAGTCTCAAATTATTTCCTGTTCATTGAACAACTACTTTTATTCATTTTTACATTCATATTTATTATTCCCAAAATGAACATGAAGCGACAATAAAATTAATTAGAAAACAAATCTTTGATTCAATCAAAACAAACATAAATTTCGATAAAAAATTATGAACAGCGTGTAATATCTATTTGTGTATTTAATATCTGCGTCTAATGCGGCGTTTATATAAGATCTATGAGATGGATGTAGTACGTGGCGGTGCACATAAATAAACGCATCACGAGATGCACCGCGCTAGATTCTACAACAGCTGTACATTCAGGCAAGCCCAGGCGGTCGGGGTCAATGCCCACTCGTATTTTCAACATGTGCCGACGTTTTCCGCGTTCCACGGAAAGCGCTCGCTCATTCCTTCGGGAACCTCCGCCTAACTTCGGCGTTCTTCGCGCTTGTTTCAGCACTTCTTACTTTTGTAAGCGATGCCATAATAATGGCTGCTCGAAAAATTTGTATCTTAAAACTATTGAACGATCAATAGTTTTAAGGAGGTTTGAAATTGTGAGAAATTCCCATGAGAGAGTCAGCCAAAAAAATAGGTAAAAATACTAAGATTCACTGAACAACACACAGTTTTAAAGTAAAACATTCTATCTGCATAGGTTAACCTTGATATAATTATATATATATCTTTTTTTAAAGTTTAAGCCTCCTAAAACCTATTTGTTTTTCTTTTAACAGAAGGATTGGCAAATAAAGCAGATTATCATTTCTTAAGAAGTTTATCCAGACCAAATGTTTATAATTCTAATAGAGACAACCCTGATTTAAATTGCATATATCAGCAAAGCAACTGTATCAAACTGTACTGTAGAACGAAAACACTATCGCGACTTAAGCCGTGTATATGCAACATTGTAAAGACGTTCGATTGCCCGATCGTCACTGGATACCACCAGCACCAGCAAGGTTAATTACGAACTTGATATTTCGTTGGTGATGTTGATACTTGTGCGTTTGTTAATTTCGGTATTTATAACTGCAGTGCTTTGTGATGGTTAAGATTTGTGTTAAATATAATGTTGTTATGTAGAAGCTTATTTTTTTGATAAAAAGCGATTTCACTGAAGTAAAAAGTTGC